GCCGGGACAGGGCGGGCTGCGGCCACGGGAGGGCACCCCAACCCCACGGGAGGGCACCCCAACCCCACGGGAGGGCACCCCAACCCCCTACGGGTTCGTGGCCTTCGACAGAGCCTGACCAAGGGCAGGACAAGGCTGCTCCAACGCTGAAACTGACAACCTCGGGTGTGCAAAGTGTGGCTGGAGAACATTCCAGCTTCTTCCACGGGAGCCTGCTCTGGGACCTGCCCAGGGAGGGACAGTGGCACTCAGGCCGTGGCAGTTCCCAAGAAAGCAGCAGTGAGGAGAAGACCTCACACATCCCACCATGTTACACAAGACTAAAGCTTCAAGTTCTTGCTAAAGAGGGTAGATATTTATACATTAAACTCTCTCAGCCCCCTCTGTGCTCAGTGCACTCCAGAGATGTTACTTCTTACAAAGTTCCAGTCTAGGACCCAAGGGCCACGTGCAGCTGTGGTTTTAAGCTCCTGCTGATGTAAAGGTTCCATCAGCTGTGCTATCAGGACCAGAACCCAGTACACATATCCCTAAAAACCCAAACCCATCCTCCCCCACGACTGGGGCCTCCACAGGTGGCAGGTCTGGGCCAGGAGAAAGGGTAACACCATGTGCTGCTCCTGCTGGGAAACCCCATCCAGCCTAAACTGCCCAGTGGAGGAGGCACCACCACACCACAAAGACACAGACCATGTCCTGAGGGCAATGACGGGCAAAAAAGACCCGAAGGACTCTCCCATCTGTAAATAACCTGCCCTCCAGCTGCCCAGAGCCTGTGTGCTACCACCTCAGCTCCACCAAGTACTGCTGGGCAGCCCAACTCAGCATCTCAGACTGATCCCCCGTGGATAGGAGATTTCCATACTTGAGGAACTTTTAAAGAGGAGGGGCAGACACACCTCTTTTTTCCTGAGTACCACTCGATGAAGAACCAGTGCAGCACCAGGGGCAGCATGGCCATGAAGCCCAGGTACAGCCAGTCATAGCGGTCTGGGGACCCCGTGCACTCCCGGCAGATTTTGTGCTCGTCGGTTCTCTGACCTCTAGGACACACCTACAAAACCAGAGGCCGGGTCTGCAAAGCACCCCAGGACCAACAGGGAAACTCTGCAGCTGGAAAAAAACAGCTTCAGGCACCGGGGCAAGGAACAGATCAGATGTGTGAGGAGACCACGGGTGAACCTCAGACACTTCTCAGCCTCCCTGGCCTGGCTCTCCCTTCCTAAGGTAAGCAAAGGTGAGTTCTGCTCTCAAGGCTTGACCCAAGGCTTCCCCTCCCGCTGCCACCTCCCGTTCTTTGCTCGGGTCAGGCTGCTCACAACCCCTGCCTCCCGACTTCCCACCCCCAGCTCCGCCTAATCCCAAAGAGCCACCTTTGGGGCTGGGCTTTTTGGGATCCGCTGCCGGGAGG